TTTTTTTTTTTTTCCAGAAGGAAAACATGGACAAATTTCAATAGGAAAATCTTAATGCAATTCCCACGTCTGACTCCACAGCCATCCTCTCCAAACCAACCCTCCTCCCCAGAAACAGCATCCCAGGCTCTCCCATTCTTGTCTCGCTGAGTTTTTTAAGGTTAAAAAATAAAAACTTGAAGCCCAGAGGTCCTTCCCACACAGAATGTTGTGTTTGAGACCCGAGTCTTGGCTCACACTAATCTACCTTCATCTCTGGCTCCATCTCAGGGTTTCCAACACGAGCATATTAAAATGTTTTCAGAGCCCAATTCTTCAGCGTTTGCCTTTGACGGTTTATCTCAAGGGATGGATAATCACATTTACGTCTGTTACTGCAAATCAAAACACCAGCAAATTAAATGGATCCGAAGGCCAAGATTAAAGTCTTGGAATTAAAACACCTGTGAAGTGCTTGTAATGCAAATAGGTGTCAGTATCATTTTTTTCAGGGGATGGAAAAGCCGTACACAGATGCTGTTCCCTTTACCGTGACAGCAAAGGCAGAAATACCACATCGCTGCGGACAGATTACAAACACGGGCATTACGGGATGCTGTTTTCTTTTCCGTGGTTAGAGAAGGGAAGAAAAGGAAATGAGCTTGAGCATCACCCTTTCCCGATGCAGGGAGATGTCTTTCCAGCCGTCTGATGCTGGCTGAGCTCTGGGCTGACTCAGAACTGGTACAACACTGGTACATGACTGGTACAAGGCTGGGAATTCAGCAGGTTCCCAGGTTCTGGGCGCAGTGGCTCTGCTGTGGCGGCTGCGCCAGTCCCCCGCCAGCCGTAGCTCTGGCCGGTCCCCAGCACACCCATGTCTCCGGCCGGTCCCCAGCACACCCGTGTCTCGTGTTCCCTGTGCTGGGGTGGAGGAGCCCGCGTGGCCCGGCAGCAGATGGTGCCGCAGACATTGCAGAACTCCCACGCCAGTTTTGCAGGATCGGGCGTCGAACAAGCAGATGGGAAGTGGATTGATGGGAAATTCGTTTCTGAAATTTCATTTTACATGAGCCTCAAAGCCCACTGTCTGTATGACTTCTTTCCTCATTTCCCAGTGTTACTGTGTGAGCCTCTTGGCTGGGCTGCCAGCACCCTGGGATGCCCAGGGGTGCTCCGGGGTGGAGCTGGGCTCCTCTTTGGGTGCTGCTTCTGAGTGGGCATCAGCAGCAGCTTCCCTCTAGAGCAGAGTGTGACATGTTTTAGCAGAGCACAGCCAGCAGATAGCAGCATTGGTATGTATAATACAGCCTAGACTGTTCCTTCTGCGCTTTCAAAGTCACGCAGAAACCTTGATGAGTTGAAGTCTGAGGCTGTGCCCCCCCCCTCTCCATTTCTGTGCAGGGGGTGGTGGGTACCCCGCTCAGCTGGCACCCTCCAGGGCACGGCACCGGTACCATCAAAGGGCCACGAGTGGGAACTGGGGGTCTTGCAGCTTGTGCCATCTCAGGCATCAGGGCAGCTCTTCCCAGCACTGAATCAATGAAAAAGGAATCAACAACCAGCAGAGACAGGAGCTGCTTTGCTCTGTCCAGGGATGTGCTGCTTTGCTTTGCTGTGAAGGGCTTGTGATACTGCAGGGCAGGAGTTTTCCCAGCTGAGAGGGTTGTGCTGCTTTTGTTGTGAATGGGATGGAAGATCCACTGAGGGACACAGTTCATAAGACTTAATTAAAATTTGTTTACTGTGATAAATGTGATTGGTTTCAGCAATACACAGGACAAGCCACCTTAAACTCACAGTAGTGTTTTATGGCCGTTCAGATAGGAAGGTATTTCTTCAGTTCTGAAAAAGTCTTTGATTTCAACCTGAAAGAAAGATTTGAGGTCTGCCTGGCTGGGTGTCAGAGCTCCTGCTTCTGTTCCAGGCTGGGACATGGGCATGGCTGTGTCATATTTATTTATATTTATATATATATATATTTATATTTGTTACAGTTAGAGTTACAGTTACAGTTATGTTATCCATATTCATATTATTTATATTTAACACCTTGTATTTGTATTTGCCACCATTCCTCCCCAGAGGATGCTTTCATGCTGATTATTTTCATCAGAGCATTTCATGCCGATACAAGGATCCCCAGCAGCTCCAGAGGTTATATGTGCA